GGGTACATTAGTATAAACAAGGTCAAGTGTGTTGTTTCCCCTGGTGGGGCAGTCAACGTGTTGGTTGTAGCTAGGCAGGACTGATTTCAGATTTCCCTGATCAAAATCACCTGCAATAATAAAAACACCATCAGGGTGTGCTGATTCTTGTTTACTAATAGCTTTGGACAGCGTTTTGACTGCTTCCTTAGCATTAGCGTTAGGAGGTATGTATACAGCAGTAATAATGACCGACGTGAATTCCCTAGGTAGGTAGAAGGGTCGGCATTTACCATTAAATATTCTAAGTCGGGTGAGCAGTGGATAGCGATTTCTGTAGTATCTCTGGACCATGCTTGGTTCACATAAATACACAGACCTCCTCCTTTATTTTTACCAGAGGCGGCTGTTCTGTCCGATCGGAGAGTTAAAAAATCATCCAGCTGAATGGCGGAGTCCGGTATGTTGTTGTGAAGCCACGTTTCCGTAAACACAAGAGTGCATTAGTCTTTTATTTCCTGGCGGGTAGTGAGCCTGAGTTTTATTTCATCCAGTATGTTGTCTAGGGACCGTACGTTAGCGAGGAACAGGCTGGGTATAGGTGGTCTGTTCCGCTGTTCTTTTAGTCTTATTTGCAGCCCGGCTCTCTTACCGCGTTTCTGTTTGCGCTTTCTGTTTTATCAGAAAGGGCTCATTACCACATTCCTACAGTGTGTGCTTAGAGGGAGACCCAAGCTACCTTGTCAAGGCAACAAAATGATTATTATTTTTATATTTTTAGAAATCTTTAAAACATTTGATTCTAATTTAAATAATAGTCCTTGTTACTCCATCTGTATGTTCTGTATGTTCCTGACTTTGTACATCAAAGATACTCAGATCAATTAGCTAATAGCAAAATGATGGGTTTCCACTCATTTCTAACCAGTCTGATGTCCTACTGTTCTTATTTTAAATCCCCACATGCTCTTCACTGTTCCAGGCAAAACGTTTAATTCAGACCAGGCATTAACAGCACTCTTCTGGTTAATACTACTTCTTGAGTAGCAATGTCTGTTATTTTGTGTTGAGACCAAAACAGAACAGAATATTCCAAATACTCTAACTAGAGCATAATTTTATCCAAGGAACATGTTATTCCAAAAATAAATAAAATAATAATAATAAAAGCAACATGGTCAGTGGTGGATGAAAAACAGGTTGACACGTGAAGAGCGCTCAGCACTTGTCTCTCCTTTCTATTTTCCAGTGGAATTAACCTTTACTTATTTATTTGAAATATACAGGATGTTTTTTTGTTTCCACAATAAAACATTATTTTTTCAGAAATGCAAAATAGTGTTCCATTTGGCAGCACTTTCCAAATAAGAAAATGTACAGATTCTTAGTGTTAGACAAAAAAAGTGCTGCTGTATTTACAATTTAGAAATAATAAAATAAAGAAAAGGGAAAGTGAAATAGACACAAGAACAACCCAGCAACAGGAAACAGGCAGAATTAAATTAGAAATTCTGGGACATCATCTGTAAAATGTATAATAAAAAATGAGCTTTTAAATGACAGATTGTTAGTAAGATGCTGCCCCCTAGAGGAACCTGTAACTGTGAACATTTGACAAGTCCAGCAGGAAGAGGAGGGGTGAGCTGACAGGTCTGAGCTTCTTAAATTAAAATAATCTGAATTAGTGATGTGTTTCTGTGCTGAAAAATGTCACTTTTTAAGAGTTAAAAACAAACAAAAATAAAGACACAATAAATAAAGAACATCAATTATAGCTGTAATTTCACTGGGAGGGGATTTCAACACAACTTATAAAAGCACCAAGTGAAAGTGAAAGTACTGTATATTTCAAGCTGTGATCAGAAGACATTAGATCAGAAGAAAAAGACAGGCTGTAACTGTGAAGAAATTGCAGCAAGATCTTCAGCCTGGAAGAGGAGCTCTCCTGTCTTGTGTGCTGTGACATCTTCAAGGATCCTGTTGTCCTGACATGTAGCCACAGCTTCTGTATAGCCTGTCTAAAGCAATACTGGCAAATGAAGGGATCTCAGGAATGTCCAGTCTGCAGGAGAAGGTCATCTAAAGACAAACATACCCCCAGCCTGGCTTTAAAGAACCTTTTGTGAAGCCATGTTAAAGGAGAGGAGTCAGAGACCTCCAGCAGGGTCTGAAGAGCTCTGCAGTCACCACAAGGAGAAAGTCAAGCTCTTCTGTTTGACTGATCAAGAACCTGTTTGTGTTAATAATAATAATTGCTTACACATATATAGCGTTTTTCTGGACACTCCACTCAAAGCGCTTTACAGGTAATGGGGGCTCCCCTCCACCACCACCACCACCAATGTGCAGCATCCACCTGGATGATGCGACGGCAGCCACAGTGCGCCAGAACGCTCACCACACATCAGCTATCAGCTATCGGTTTTCACTCCCCTCTATAATTCATAGAGGGGGATTATTAGGAGGCCATGATTAGTAAGGGCCAATTGGAAATTTGGCCAGGACACCGGGGTTACACCCCTACTCTTTGCGAGAAGTGCCCTGGGATTTTTAATGACCACAGAGAGTCAGGACCTTGGCTTTACGTCTCATCCGAAGGACTGAACCTGTTTACAGTATAGGGTCCCCGTCACTATACTGGGGCATTAGGACCCACATGGACCGCAGAGTGAGTGCCCCCCACTGGCCCCACTAACACCTCTTCCAGCAGCAACCTTAGTTTTTCCCAGGAGGTCTCCAATCCAGGTACTGACCAGGCTCACACCTGCTTAGCTTCAGTGGGTTGCCAGTTGTGAGTTGCAGGGTGATATGGCTGCAGGGCGATATGGCTGCTGGCTGGTGTTATTTGTCAGACTTCAAGAAAACACAAAAACCATGAGCTCTGTCCCGTGGAGGAGGCCGTGGTGGACTATAAGGTGAGAAAACATTGTATGTAAGGAAAACTTTCAAAGTAAAAAAAATAGAAAAGAAATTGTTAATTGTGAAAGAACATGTTAAATTGTGACAGTTTGTAAATGTTTTGTTTTGAATATACTGTATACGTTAATTCAGTTAATAAATATATTATGTAGACAGTTTTAAATATGATTGGAAATCACTCCATTATAATAGATTCACTCCATTATAATAGAAAATAAATGACAGATGATGTACTTTCTCAGGCACTTAAGGAACACAGAGTGAACCAGCATCTTCTTTGTCAAGAATACAAAGTACTTTATCAGCTACATCAGTTTGTTAGGGGAATTTGAACAGCTACAGTATAGAAAAGGAAAACTGGAAAGGATTGAGTCTGAAGCCTCAAAAATAATAAACTGTGAACTTCCTTCCATTTTATCCCTTTGCACACGCTGCACCTCCAGTCATTCCCACAATAATATGAGATTATTTGAGACCCCTCTCATCCATCTTATTATTTTTTTCTGCTCCTCCCTTCAGGAAAACATTTTAAATAAATGCTTTCAAGAACCGCCTGCTTCAGCCTTAGCTTCTTTCCCTCTGCCATACAAACTTTGATCTTTTTTCCCTTCAGCTATTTTGCCTCTTATTATGCATCTGTATACAGCTTGTCTTTTTCATTTTCATTTTGTATTCATTTCTTAATATTGTATGTAATATAAATCACTATTGAACATGAAAATACAAGATGATACTGTATTACATGCTTTAACATATGAAAACCCCTAACCACAATTTCATAGTACATTACTTAACCAGAGTAATAGAATACCACAAAGGCAGCATCAGTGTATTGTCACAGTTAAATGCAGGATCCTCACTGTTTATTCTCACACATCACTGCATGCACTTGTTAATAATGTATGAGAACAATGAAATAAAGCACAGAATTCTGATTACTGAGACAGATCACATCAGTGAGTGGTGTTCAGAAACTGAGAAGTTGACTTAAGGTAATACCAAAATCCAATCTTGGATTTATAGTTTTAAAATCTGAACCTAAATCATTTCAGTAACTGAGATCATCTGAGTTATCAGAATGATCAGAATTGATACGTTTGCACTGAGTCCTGGTAACATGAAGTCTATTCCAGAAGTTTACACCAGAAGGCAATAATACATGCATGACAGGAGCTCAGTACATTGCTCTGTGTGCACTCACAGCCAGAAATAAACCTAGCAAAATCAGAGAAAACTTGCAAACTCCCCACAGACAATGCTCAGTCAGGAATTAAGTCCAGGATGGCCAAGGAAGAGAGACAGGTGTTTTCATCTTTCAACACCACATCTATACTGCTCATCTTAATAAGTTAAATGGAATTAAATATTTAAATTATAAATTAAAGTAATCTTCATACACATTATGGCAGAATTGTGAAAGAAATGTGAAATTATGAAAGCCAGTATTAAAGGGTACATTTACCTTCATATGCTCTTATCAAGGTCTTATTATTAGGTCTGAATAAGGCTGCAGAATAATTGGGAAGCCGGTGAATAAGGGGCTATGATTTTTAATTCAGGTTTAGAGGGGACAACATTCTCTGTTCCCACAGTTAGAAATGACTAGTGCTCTAATTTCTTTAAATTTAAAGGAGAATTACACTGGGACACTTCCATAAAGTATATGGGCACAGAGTCTCTGTGATTATTCACAAAGGGTTTATTTTTTCAAAAAGTATTTTTATCATTGGCTCTTATTGATAATGATAAAATGATAATGATAATGATAATGATAATGATAATGATAATGATAATGATAATGATAATGATAATGATAATGATAATGATTAACCTTCAAAATTATCTCACCAATTTTTACATACTAAATATATTTGAGGAACTGGTTCAATGCATTTGAATTAAGTCTTCATTTAATCAATGAACAGCACGGTGAAACAGGAATTTTTTCATTAATACATACAGCAGGGATTTTAACGCTCAAGTCCTGTGATCTACTAAATTGCTGTTATTTTCTGCAACCTGCCCCTCAGTTCTCTGACTATCAGCACTAATATTACATTTGACATGCTGGTGTCACTGCAGTATTGCAATGGCGTGGACTGGGGGAACTGTAGAAACCCTGTACTAAAGACACTGCCTCTGTGTTGTCAGTGATGTCCATCTGTTTCTGCAGAAAAGTGTCTTCTCATTCCAGGAGGAGCTCAAGGCTGCATTGGAACCCCTGCAGAAGAAACTGGAAGCCTTTAATAAAGTGAAACAAACATGTGACCATACAGCTGAGTATATTAAGGTAACCTTGCCCTGAAATGATATTTTGTTTCAGAAATACAAATTAAAATGTTGTTATTACAAAGTTGAATTAAATAGTAAGATGAATAATAGTACTGAATCTAAATCTAAATCTAAATCTCTGAAAGGATAATGCATTTAAAATAAATTACAAGTGCAGCTGAATAAAACACCATTTAAATGTAATTTATGAGGAAACTGGGTAATCACACTTGTTATTGCCAACTGCTGATTCTAAAAACAATAAACTGCTAGGAAAGATACAGTACTCCACCCCAAAATATCTTAAACACAGAATAATAAAATTCAACCTTTGATCAACAATTTTTATTCCAGTCACAGGCCCAGAGAACTGACAGACGGATAAAGGAGGAGTTTGAGAAACTTCACCAGTTTCTACGAGATGAAGAGACAGCCAGGATAGCTGCACTGAGAGGGGAAGAGGAGCAGAAGAGTCGGATGATGAAGGGGAAGATTGAGAGCCTTACAAGAGAGATCTCATCCCTTTCAAATACAATCAGAGCCATTGAACAGGAGATGGGAGCTGAAAATGTTTCATTCCTGCAGGTATAGATCAGTCTCTCTGTGACAGCTACTGTACCTGCTGAATGCAGACTGACACTAATGAATGGTCAGATTCATACGACTGCATTGTGCACTGTGCTGTGCTATAACATGGATGAGTCAGTTCTGCTGTGAGTTTGATCCTGCCAGCTACAGTCAGAAAATCTGAGGCTCAAACTGACCTCACTTTCATACACGAAGACCATTGACTACTCCTGGACTGCAGTCAATCAAAGTTGGCAGCAATACGTACCGCTCAGTACACAGCAGGTCCTCTTCATTTAAAATGCTTAATGAGATCTTTAATCAGTATACAGAGTGTTTACAATATCGAAATGTTTTACAACTTTTGTATTTGTTTTATTGTTCTACTCTTTTGAGATTTTTGGATTTGATTTCTGTGTTTTAATTATGGCCAGAGTTGAATTAACTGTTTATAAAAAAAGTATATGCAGTAAAAGGGTGAAAATTAAATATCTATCTAATACATGGTCCTGTTGTATTTTTTCAGAATTAGAAGGACACAAAGTGCAGGTACTGTATGCGAACTCCAGTCTGTCTTCCTCTTTTCTATTGTACTGAGTCTAAACTCACAGCAGCACTGACTCCTGAATATTACTGCAGAGCTCAGCGCACACTGCAGAATCCAGAGGTGGTTTCAGGAGCACTGATAGATGTTGCCAAGCACCTGGGCTCTCTGAAGTACAGAGTCTGGGAGAAGATGCGAGGGATTGTTCAGTACAGTGAGTACTGAGGGGCAGGATCACAAGAGGGAGGGATTTACAGGTTTTCACAGTGCAGGAGGAAGATTTAGAAATGTGCAGTCAATCAGATAGAAGTAGTGAGAGTGTGACTGTCTGTGTAGGAGCCCTGGAGTGAAGTGACTGATCTCCAGTTTGCTTTACAGGAGTCACTACATGGCTAGTTTGTCCTGGTGATCCTTTCCTGACAGTGTCTGTAATGTCCTGTCTCTTTAGCTGCTGTTCACCTACTGATACTAACAGGAATGTTCTCTGTAAACTTCTAAGCCTCTACTAATATCATTCTTATTTTTTAAATCTTACTATATTTTATTTTAAAACATTTAACTTATTTAGAGCCCATCACTAGTGTATGAATTTCCCAACTGATTTCTGTAACTCCCCGGGTCTCTTAATATTTTCAACATTATTAAATGTGTAACATTTGATTCCTTTTCCATCAAGGTTGAGGTATTTCAAAGCTATTGTTTGTCACACCCATTGCTGACTTCTGCATAGTTTTTTAAATTTTTATACATCTTTTTGACCTTTGTATTTCTCATAATGATTTACAGAAATTTGCGTTTACATTTTTCAAGCCTTTATTAATGTTAATTTTGTGTGATAATCCTGCTATACAGTGTATTTAACTTATATGTATGTATTTATATAATATATATATTATATACAGAATGTCTCAATTGAAGATGACATTGATGCCATGTTTTAAAATCAAACTCATATTTTCATGATAAAATATACATCTTTAGTTTATTTTTACAATGAGGCTGAGTTTTACTAATTACCAATACAGTACGTTAGTATTATTAACATTTTACAAAATTGCACTGGTATTTAATTAAATTTTATTTATGGAAAAATGTCTTTCAGGAGGTTAATGTTGATTTCTGTCATTTTTTCTATCAGCTCCTGTGATTTTGGACCCCAGTACTGCACAGTCTCACCTATCATTGTCTGAGGATCTAACCAGTGTGAGATATAATGAGAAACAGCAGCTCCTTGACAACCCAGAGAGGTTTGATACCCATGCCTACGTGCTGGGATCTGAGGGATTCATCTAAGGAGACACTAGATAGATAGATAGGTAGATAATACTTTATTAATCTCGTAGGGAAATTGATGTGTTACAGCAGTCCAGCCCAAGACAAGCAAAACAGACATCAGAATAGTTATAAAACAAAAGACAAACAAGATAAATAAAAATAAATACATAGGTGTGTGCAAAATGTGCTGATCATAGTCACAGTCACTGTAAAAACAATAAAATATGTGCAAAATGTGCATAGGTTTATACGGACTGATTGTCCAAAAAGTACAATGGAGTAAACATGCTGTCCATAGAGGAGCAAATGAAGGGCTAAAAGTCCTAGCCAAGGGGCATCGTTATACACCCTGACAGCCGCCGGGAGGAAAGACCTGCAGAAACGTTCCCTTGAACACCGTAGCTGGAGCAGTCTATTGCTAAATGTGCTCCGCTGCCCAGTAACAGTCCCATGAAGCGGATGAGAGATGTTGTTCATGATGGCTGTGAGCTTGGTCAGCATTCTCCTATCAGCCACCACCTCCATGGGGTCAAGGCTCATCCCCAGCACAGTGCCAGCCTTCTTGATGAGTTTATTGAGCTCCACATCCCCACTACTGGGATTTGGAGTTGGGAGACAACACTTTTTGGGCTTTGGGTTTGGCCACTCTATCAACAGGAAAGGATCACTCACTTTGCACTCAGAAGAAGGAGTACAGCTGTGGGGAACTGCTTACAGTGCACTGACCTCTGCAAAGACACGACTCACTCTGAAGAACAAACCCCAGAAGATCAGAGTTCGTCTGGACTATGACAAAGGGGAGGTGTCATTCTTTGATGCCAATAATGAGACAACCATCTACACTCTTAAAAACACTTTAACCGAGAGGCTATTTCCTCTCTTCTTTTGTTGTGACTTTGTTCCTCTGCAAATCTGCCCAATGAAGGTGTCTCTAACAGTAGATAAGCACACAAAGTATTGATTACTGCAGGACTGGTGTGAAAAAACTTTCCTAAATAGATCATCAGTATGTTCCTTCTGTACAGTAAGTAAGAGTATTGAAACTTAGATGTAGGTTTAATCAAAGCTATAAGATAATAATAATACCGCTGTCATTGATAAAAGCCATGTATCTCTTGGACGTGTGTCAGGGTTAGTGTTAATCAGGACCCTATGCAGATGGCAGAATCCGGAAGGGAGTGAAACACAAGGGAGAGTAGACTAGGGTCGGGGCTGGTAGAAGAACAGGGGGGCGTATTGAGGGTGCACTGGTGCTTGGTGGGGCATGGTCCAGGCGAAAGTCCAAGGGGAGTCCAAAGGGTAATCCAGAGTGAGCAAAAGTCCAGAGCCGGGTGATCCATCCATGACAGACATGACAAAAGTTCACGAGGAATGACGGCAGCCGAAAGCTTGGGAGAAATTAGAATCATTTATTGGGATATGGAGATTTGGCGTAACCCGCTTGGCTGAGGGCCGACCTCCCGGCCGTTGGACAGGGAGGATAGGACCCACCTTAAAGAACCAAGCGGGACCCCCAGTCACCAGTGCAGAAAAAACAAACAAAAACAAAAACCAAATGATTATTAAACTAATTCAGCCAAGGAGAGAAAGTGCCTGCTTGAGGGTACCGGGGTTAGTTTTGATGTATGCATGATAAGACTCGGAGGACCAACGGCCGAGATGCTTGATGAGATACTCCGGTATGCCTTGGCGAGCGGCAGGGGACGCAGCCCCTGATCTGAAGGAGTTCCCGGAGAATTGTTCAGGGGGGTATCCGGCGGTTAGAAGGATGTCGTAGAGGTGAGAGAGGAACCAGTTGCGGGTCACGATACGGCCCTTCTCGTTTATGAACAGAGGGTCAGTAGGCAAAGCTCCGGCAGAGGTGCGAAGATGTGCGTAATGGGATAGAGGCTTGTATGGGCTTACGTATGAACAGAGTTTGAAATAATAGATGAGAGTAACAGACGCGAGTTGGTCGGTTTTGCTTTTCTTGAGATAGAAGGTCAGTGTATCGGAAGATAAGATGGAGATGTCGGATAAGCAGGGTTGAGAAGAGGGATCGAAGGATGTGGAAGCAGCGGTAATTTCAGAGCATCTTAGGAAGCCGAAGAAGGCTAACAAGAATAAAGATTCGAGAGTGCGGTTGACCCAGGGTGAGTGGTAACCCGACCTGAGAACGTAGATGCAGGATTCGAGGATGTCCGAGGTAAGTGGTGTGCATTGGTTCGGAAGTGGTTTTTCAAGCCGCTGAAAGCCTTTAAGCAGGAGACTAATTTGAGGGTGGATAAGGGAGGGACAGGTCGTGCCGAAAAGGAGTTTATGAAAGAAGTGGATGCCGCACAGGTATACTTTGGTGGTGGATGCTCGTACCTTGAGTGAGTTTCTACAATAGCAAACGAAGGATGATACAGTGAGAATATCGAAAGAAGGGAATTTTATGTTCGTGGAGAGGTGGAAGGATTGGAAGCCCTTCCAGGCAGTCCAGTAAGAGTTGAGAGTTCGAGGGGCAATCCATAAGAGAATAGTTTGCTGGGCCAGCTGGACATAGTGATTGAAAGGATGATTCAGAGGAACGTGAGTTCCGAATAGGGAGGTACTGTGCATAGGTTCGGTCTTGCGTCTGGTGCCAAGTTCCTGAATTTCTGAAATTGAAAGCGAGAGAGAGAGTCAGCTATCTCATTAAGGTGACCTGGAATGTGAGCAGCTACGAGGACGAATTGATGTGTGAGAGAAATCCATTTAAGGCGGCGGAGAAATTTCATGATAGATCGGGAACCTTCCTTTGTTAATTATATGGAATACTGCATAGTTGTCCGAATGGATAAGGACGGATTTTTGTTTCCAGTTGTGGCCCTAAAGAGAAGCTGCAACGACAATTGGAAATATTTTGAACAAGGCAGATGACTGCTAATCGTATTGCCATTCCAGTTGGCCAAGAAAAGCTGCCAAAGCGTGAGCTCGGATTTGCAGTCGGGTGAAAGGCTTACGGGGTGATAAGAAAAGGACACGGAAGAGGTGAGGTCGAGAAGTTAGGAGATGAATGACCGTCCTTGGGGAATGATACGCATGGCGTAATTGAGGTGGCCAAGCAGAGAGAGAAGTTCCCTCTTTGTGCAAGATTTGGCGGAAGAATAGGTAGAGATATACGTCTGGATCCTGTCAATCTTGTCGCGAGGCAGGGAGGCGGAGAAATTGATGGAATTGAGGATGATTGAGGGATCGGCGGTGGCAGATTGCACATTTTTGCAAAAGACATGGGAAGAAGAAAGTGTGCACAGGCCTGGTGAGAATCCGAAGGAAAGGCCGGAGAGTAAGATGTGGGTGGAAGAAGGGTCGGGGTGACGGAGCAGTTCGGAAGCAAGAGCGGGGATATTGATTGGGGTAGACAGAAAAGCCAGTAGTCATTTTGGGATGCTGAAGGTGGAGCGAGCATGGAAAGGCCGGCGGGCGCAGGAAGAGGGAGCGTGAGCTTCGCCGCAGAAGCTGCAAATGTGGAGGAAGCGACGTCGAGGAATTGAAGTTGTTGCAAATTTGTTGACCTCTGATCATCACGATGGGGCGACCACAAACGTCTCTGGACCGGGAAGGTTTGAAGAAGACCTGGCGGGAGAATTGATGCTGAGGGGGAGAAGGGGCAGAGTCTGGGTTGAGCTTGCGGACTGTATTTGGGCAAAGATTTGATGAATGTGTCCAAAAGGAACATAAGTCGCAGGAAAGAGGAAAGGCGGAAAACATGATGTCGCGAAAAATGCTGAAAGCCAAGCAGAAGTCGGAAATTCAAAGGACTGAAGCAGAGTGAGGGTCAGAAGATTTGAGAGTAACGGAAATCGAGCCGCAGTCGACTGTTCTGGAATCGGAGTTGGAAGTAGAGGAAGAGAGAAGGTGAGCTAGATTGACGTCCGCACCTCGTAGAATTTGCTGCTGGAGTGAAAAGGGAATGGGAGGAGGACTAAACTTTAGTGCGTTGGGAGGAGCTGGGAGAGGAATGGCTGTTCAGAGAGAAAAGTAAAGGGGAGATTGGAATCCAGGGCCGAAGGCATGGGATGACTGATGCTGTGTTGGACACCGGGGATGGGAGAAGATGAGGAGGGAAGAAGAGCAGAAAACAGATTGTGGTAGGAGGGGTTAGATGGATCTAGGGCCTGAAGCTCATTGGCTTGGGATATGGAAGCCGAAGGCTGTTGAGGAGGAATTGAAGCAGTGGCAAAGGCTGCATGAAGGACTGAGGAGTCTGCCAAGTCGTCTTGGATGCCAGGGGGTGGGGGAGGGTAAGAGCCGCCTGCTGGCTGAGCTGGGGGTCATTTACTGGATGGCCTTTGGGCCGTGGAGACCACAGCAGGGGCCGAAAGAAAAGAAACCGGGGCCGAAGGCACCAAGTTGGTGGTGCTTGAGCCGTGTTGGATGCCGGAGGTAGAGACAGAAGACAGTGCAGAAATTAGATTAAGCAGAGAAGGGGGTTGGGGAGGGGTGTGAGTCTGGGGCCTTAGACCCGGCAGCAAGGAGTTTAGGGAAGGAGGCTGGGTGGAAGAGGCTAGGTGCGGTTGTTCAGCAGAGGAATGGATTGGTTGGGGAAGAGACACAGACACAGATATATCAGGACAAGACAAGACAGAAGACGTGACAGGCAGAGGCGCGGACGGCCTCGGGGTCCTCACGTTGGGATTAGTGGCGGCGGCGCGGGTGATGTCATTGGAGGGCGCCGGGGGAAGCTATGTAGCTGATGTTTCCTTTGTGTAGACTGCGGTTAAGTACAGGGAAAACAGAGCTTTTTTGGAAGCATTTCTTTTAAAACGGACTCCATGTTTTCGAAGTATCCTCTGGAGGCTTGCTACGGTCCAGTTGGAAATCGCGACAGATGATCCAGGAGAAGGGGGAGCCGATGAGCGTGAAGCGCGGCGGCTGGGACATCCTCGAGAGAAGCGGCGGTTATTTGGAGACTTTGCCGTGGAGGGACGGGAAGGCTGGGTTTGTGATGAGAGAGGGACTACGACGGCGGAACGCAGTCTTCAGCGAGGAGTTGAATCTTGTGAGGACTGGCTGGGAGATGAGCGGCGCTGATGTGGCACGGCGGGTGAAGGAGGCGATGAGACGGAGGTGAGGGGAGCGGGGTGGGGGGGGGAGACTG